TCCCTCTCTGACAGTATCAACTGCTAACAGAACCTGCTAATAATGATGGAAGACAATCCAGCCTAGATCTGATTCTGGCTGATCTGGTGATTCTTAACTTTTGTAAATTCTGAAGACTTACATGAAATCTGATAAAGGTCATGATCAGATTTTAGGAATTCTGCGAAAAGGTTTTTGAGCTCTACCTACTTAAAGATGATGCCCTAAATCAATGTCCTCGTCCTGACCGCTCAGCCTATCTCCAATCCCATGTCTCAGCTGCTTCTGAGGCACTTTATTAATCATTTACCCATACCCCCAAATTTCAGATTGTCTAAAATGAAACTTACCATTTACTCAGACTTCTTTTTCAACTTCATTATAATGGAACCCTAATGCATGGTCTCAGGACCCTAACATTTTCAAGCTTTTGGATTAGAGATACTTAAATTTTGGAGGCCTTGGCTCTGTCCAAAAATTCTGTTGGATGTTATAGACCCCTCCCAAGGAAAGAAGTGCACATTTGCTGACACAATTGCACACACAAAAAGTTGACTTCTCTACAGCACATCTAAATGTTCCAGGCTAACAACTCCTTTGGTCGACAGTGACACATATTTCTATCCCCCTCCTATCTCCACATTCTTCCAATTTTTTTTTTTTTTGTTCAAAATGTTTTGCATATTTTTCTCTTTCATTTCTGTGTCTACTGGCTTCATCTACTCAATTTAAGTCAAAATAGCTTAATGCCCAGAGAACTTCAAGAGTCTCCTAATGGGAAGATTTTAATAGCAGGAGAGGTCCATAAGCTTTACTCTGTGTTGGATTAAGACCCATGACTCTGAAAGACAAACTCATTAAGAATTCTTGCTTAGAACTGGTGTAATGTGTAGAATGTTTTAGTTGATAAAGAACTTGGAAAACAACTCATTCCTATCACAAAACATTTTTATAGAATTCACCAATAAAACCATCTGAGACTGGATATTTTTGTATATGTATGTAAGGGGATAGAAATTTTTAATAATCAATGCAATTTATTTAATAAATATAATCTTACTCAGATTTTATGTTTTTCCTCTCTTAATTTTGGTATGCTGTAGTTTTCAAAAAAATTTCTAGGGGCAGCACCTGTGGCTCAGTGAGTAGGACGCCAGCCTCATATACCGAGGGTGGTGGGTTCAAACCCAGCCCCGGCCAAACTGCAACAAAAAAATAGCCAGGCCTTGTGGCGGGCACCTATAGTCCCAGCTACTCAGGAGACTGGAGGCAGAAGAATCACCTAGGTCCAAGAGCTGGAGGTTGCTGTGAGCTGTGATGCAATGGCACTCTACTGAGGGCAATAAAATAAGACACTATCTCTTAAAAAAAAAAAATTTCTACTTTACTGAAGTTGTGAAATTTATTGGCACGAATTTGTTAGTAATATTCTCTTGTTATCTTTGTTTTTTTTCTGAGACAGAGTCTCACTCTGTTGCCCTGGGTAGAGCACTGTGGCATTACAGCTCACAGCAACTCATGTTATCTTTTTAATGTCTTTGGTATGTAGTTACAACCCATTTTTAAATTCCAGATATTCATAAATTTTATTCTTTTTTTCCTTAATCAGTCTCGTTACAGGTTTCTCAATTTTGTTGATTTCTGCAAAGCACTAGCTTTTGGCTTTGTTGATTTTCTCTGCTACTCATCGGTTTTCTACTTTAAAGATTTCTGCTCTAATCTTTATTGTTGTTTAACTCCTATTTACTTTGGCCACACTTTTTTAGAATCTTAAGGTAGAATATTAGTTCATTGATTTAAAGACTTTCTCTTTTTGTTAATATAAGCATTTAAACTCTAAGTTTCCCTCTAATCACTGCTTTATCGGTATCTTATAAATTATTAATATGGGCTACTTGCAATATGGGATACATATTAATATGTTGTATACTTATTATTATCCAGTTTCTTCTTCTTCATCTCACAAGAAGAAATCCGTTGTGATCTATGCATTACTTAGAAGTATATTGTCAAGTATTTGCCTTAGCAGCACATTGCCTTGAATTTGGAATTAATGTCAATGTGATCAGAGAATATACTTTACGTGATCTCAATTATTTCAAATTTATTTTTACAAAAACTTGTTTTATGGCCTAGTCTGTCTTGGTGAATATACCACATGTGCTTGAAAGAACGTTTATTCTGTACTTGTTGAGTGAGTTGCTTCACAAAATTCATTAAATCAAGATGTTTGATATTCTTGTTCGAATTCATATGGCTTTCGTGATGTTGTTATTCATTCTATCAACTGTTGAGAGAGGAATTTTAAAATCTTCTGCTTTGACTTTGAAATTGTTCATTTATCCCTTTAATTCTGTTCATTTAATTCTGTTCAAATTTTTCCTTCCTGTGTTTTGAGGTCCTGTTATTTGGTGCATATCTATTTATTCATCTCATTGCTTTGTTTTCCTGACGAACTCTCCCTTTTATAATTATGAAAAATATCCATCTCTAGTATTATGCTGATTTGAAGTCTATGTTATCTGATATTGGTAAAGTTATTCCAGCTTTTTATGCTTCCTGTGTATATGGTATGTCTTTTATCCACTTACTTTTGGCCAACCTGAGTCTTTATCTATTATGTGTGTCTCTTTCAGAAGCAGGTAGTTGAATATTTCTTTTTTTTAATTCCTTCTGATAATCTCTATTTTACTTAAGTGTTTGGACTATTACAATTTAAAGTAGTTTTTGATGTGATTGAATTTAGAGCTACCATTTCATTATTTTTTTTGTTTATTCCTTTAACTTTGGTCCCCATCTTTCCCCTTTCTTACTTTATTTTGGATTATTTAGTAGTTTTTAAACATTGCATTTGAATTTACTGAGTTTTGGGGGTTCTTTTTAGTTTCACTTCTATTGTGTTTTTGTTTATTAAAAAATTAAAGAATGCTTTAAGGATTACAATGTAATCATCAATCTTGCATGATTTACTTATATTTAACTTTACCCCACTGCATGTAAAGTGTAGAAACTTTGCAGTCACAGGGGCTCTTTATATGGTAGCTGCATCGGGCATCTGTATTACATTCATGTGCCTTATGAGCATCTTGAGACAGTGTTATAACTTTTTCTCTCTCTATATATATATTCTTAAAGCAAAGTAGAAGAATAAAAATATTTCCTTTTTATTCAGATTGTTGTCATTTATGACACTCGCTGTTCATCCCTGAATATCCACGTGCTCTTCTGGTACCACTTCCCTTCAGCCTGAAGAATTTATTTAAGTCTTTCTTGCGAAGAAGTCCGCTGGCAAGAAATTATCTTATTTTTTTCAACCTTATTTTTTCTTCAGCTTCGTTCCTAGACGACATTTTCTATTGTTGACAAATTTTTGTGTGTGTGCTTCCACTTTTGTTTCTGTTTTGCTTTTTATCTTCCAGCTTCTGTGGTTTCTGAAGAAAAGTCTGTGGTAATTTAAATCAACACTTTCCTTTATATATTGTGTTTTCCATCCTATTTTTAAGATTTTTCTCCTTGTCTCTGATTTTTAGCCATAGGATTATTATGTATCTAAGTATGGTTTGCTCTGAACATGTTTGGTTTGGGATTTTTGAAATTTCTGAGTCTGTAAATTTATTTTTTTCACAAACTTTGGGAAGTTTTTAGCCATTATTTCTTTCTCTGCTCTTCTTCTGGAACTTTAATTACCTGATGTTAGAGATTAAGATACTGTCACACAAGCTGCTGAGGCTCTGTTCCTTTTTTTCTTTTTTCTCTTGTTCATTCTGATCTATCTTCAAGTTTATGACTCAATCCTTTAATATTCTTCTGTTAAGAATATCCAATAATTTTTTTAATTTCAGATATTACACGAAGTTTTAGTATTTATTTCCCTTTGGCTTCTTTTTATAAGTTCTATTTTGCTTCTAAGAAGTCTCCTCTTTCTTGTTTCAGAAAATGCTTTCTTTTACTTCACTGAACATAGTTGAAAAAGTTGAAAATGACTTCTTTAAAGTTCTTGTCTGATAATTCCAACATCTGGCTCATCTTGTGGTGAACATCTGTTTATTATCTTTTTCATTTAAAAATGGGTCATATTTTCCTAGTTTTTTTGTGCATGATTTTAGATTGTGTGTTGGACATTGTGAGTCTTACAGAGACTCTGAGTTCCATTCCAGTCCTCTGGAAAACACTGATTTTTTTTTTTTAATTTTGGCTGTTGATTAATTCAGGGAGATACAAATTCTTGTCTATGTACATAGAAGTTCAAGTCTCAGTTTAATTTTAAGCCTGTGCTATGCTGCTGTGAGTCTGTTCCATGGAAAAGTCATAAGGGTCAACCCCAAACTTACAGGGTTCATTTACAGAATCAGGGGACCTCCTCTTTCTCCAACTCTCTTCCCTGCATGATTTCCCCACCCACGGTTGTCTGGCCACTTTCTCATCATTTCTCTGGTCAGAGAGAGGAGAATTTTTTTTTAACTACAGAGCTTTAGTTGCCACTTTATGACAGCAACCCAGTTTCAAGGCAAAGTTTCTCCAAAAAGGGAAACTTACCCCTGTGCAAGCCATTTCTCCATGTTTGAGCTTCGGTCTATAATCTGCCCAATTTTGTTTACTGTTCACAATCATTATATAGCCGCTCAGGTTATACATCTAGTAAGGAAGTAGAAATGAGATTTGAACCCAGGTGGGACTCTGCATTCCCCTTTGGTATGGAGGCCGCCGCCCAAGCAGAATTTGATGATATTCATCTTGCTGATGACATAGCAGGGAAGTATAGTGCTGTGAAAACAGCCTACTTCAAAGAGGAGGCCAATGTTCTCATCTAGTTTGCTGCAGACTTGCGGCAAAGCCCTGCAGCCCCCCACCTCCTCTCCTTCTTTCCCTGTGTCTACAACAGAAACCAAAACTTACTTGACAATAATCTTCAGAACTATCCCAGAAATAAAATGAAAAGGCCTGTGAAAGTCTGATGAAAATAATACTATGACTGTAATTCTTGTTAGCCCCACTCACAAACTAACACTTCATTTTCTAAGTTTTACAGTTACGACTTCAACAGAGAAGGACCCAGGAACAATTGGCTAACCACAGCATAATATCACGTGAGTACCTGCATCTCTTAATTACTGACATGCTACCGTAGGACAATGCCATTTGGGAGCTGGAAAGCGCCTCAGAGGTATTTAGTCTAAGCAATGTATTGATCTTCCAAGACCCTTATAGACTCTGTGTCAGCAGAAATCCCAGCCCTCAGGTGCTTTCTCCCAGGTGATACCTACCCACCCAAGGGGACTAGCTTTTAATGATGCTGCTTATGTCTAAAATTCCAATGTGATGGGTTTGTTCTCAGGGTAAATATAATTTAGTGTGGGCATCTCTCACTTTTCTCCTACCTTTAAAATTGAATGCAATCACGGTTCTTTTCAGAAGTATCAATCACAATCAATTTTTTCCTTATGTCCTCGGTTCCAATTCTGTTTGGGGTATTTAAGTGCACAAGTAATCGAATGCTGTCAAGCATGTCCTTTCTGGAAGATAGTATAGCAATAGCAGTTTAGCATAAATGATATAATGTGGAATACAATATTGGCCATAATCTGGGTTGAAGAAGAAGCATTGTCACATCCTTTAGAAGACATGTATGAAATTTTGTACCCATTCAGCAGTTAAAGCTAACTCTTGGTTAAGCTATGGAAATAGGGAAAAGGGTCCCCTGGATGAATGAAGCCATAGTTCACGTTGCTCTATGTCACACAGTCTAATTTCCTTCCCAAGAAAACTTAAAAATCACGATTCATGATGACTCTTACAGAAATCCAGGTATCTTTATAACTGCCATAATGAGACTCATGACTATTCAGGGTGTAGTATGAAAGTTTGACCTTGACAAACCATCTTGTGGTTAGTGATTTTGAAGCCCTGTACTCCTAACTTAAAATTTTTAAGTACAGTCTGTATTTCAGAGTCAAAACAAAACTAAGAATTTTTCAGGCATCTTCTTTTGTAATTCAAAAATAACTCTTTGTTCATGGCTGAGCCCTGCCAACAGTAGGTGACCTTCTTGGAAATAACTTTTTAGAGATTTCCCAAACACAGAAGAAACAACTCACCCTGCAATTTCAAGGCTGTTTAAGCGACATTTACAACCATGCTGGGGAACCAGAGAAGCCAGTGTATGTGAGGCTTGTTTCATCTTAGCCCTTCCTTTGAGATGCTAAGACTGAGAGAAATCCAAGGGCTACAGTTGTCAGGTCTGTTAAACACACTGTCACCCAAAGCTGATCATCTATCCCCTCACTAATGATTCTTTCTCTATAATCCTGGAAAGATAAATGGAGCAGATAGACCCTCCTGAGGTCCTCTTTCAGCCAACTCAAGTTGTTCACAACTGATTTAAACTTCAACCCATGTACTTGAATACTGTGAGCCTGGGTCTTGCCATGGCATTTGGATGAGAATCCACATGTTTTTGAGGTACATAGGGTTAAATCTGGGGATCAGTAAAAATATCCAGTGAAGGTCCTAATTAGCCCTATAGTACATACCTTTTAAAATAATACCTCTCATGTAAGTTATAGAAATGAAATATTCATTTGCACAGTAGTGCCAAGTGGAGAGACTTTGGGCTCCAGGATTTCCAGGATCAAATAGTGTAGACATTAACAATGTGCCCTCTTGACAGAAGTTTTTTGTATCTGTAAACCATTGCATCGTTAAGATAATTTCTAGAAAAAAAGTTTTGCAAATAATGAAATGGTGTTTATTGTATTTTTTTAGAGGGTGTTTGTTTTTAATTCAGCAGAATGATAAAGGTTTTTCCTGATCTTTAGAAACCTCCTCTCAATCAAGCATTCCAAAGGTGTGAATCCTGGTGTGGAAAAATGTCCAAGCCACAGCAGGTGCATGTGGCAGGCCTTGCCTGGATGAGACATTTTTTCGTTAGCTGTCTTAGAAGACTAGCCCGGGAGCACAGTCTTCACCTGCAGAGAGGCGGTCTCTTCAGCCCCATTGGAGACTGAACGTGCAGCCCACATGCAAGGCAGAGCAGTGTGTTTCCTTTTTTTTTTTTTTTTTTTG